AATTTTTACAAAAAGGCAGATCACAATGAAGATAATTGTATTGGAATATTGCATCAAGACCAATCTGCAAGAATAGACAGTGGAAGACGAGAGGATCCCAGGACGAAAGTAGACTACTAATACACATTCAAAACAAACTGTTTAGTAAAAAAAAGTATTAACATACATAATTTTAAGAGAATAGTTCAATTAAAAGATTATATTCCTTGCGCTTGATTAAATCCACAGATGACATTCAAAGAAAAATCGTATATAGACAACTATACTTTAATACAATGTCAAAGACTCAAAATTCTATATAAAATAACAGATAATGGTAAAAAAAAAAATAATAATAATAATAATAAATGCATAAATGATTTAACTTGACCAATTTCAAACTCCTCAAACTCGTCATCATCTTCGAATAGATCGATCTTTGCGTCCTCAGTCGCCTCTTTTGGTTGTTCAGCCGCCATTCCAATTGTCTAACTCAAATACCACATTAAAATAATTAATCATATACCTTAGATATATGTGTACGTATGTATGTGGATTTTGTACATATGATGAAATGCATTCCATCAGAAAGCAAAAATTTCAGTATAAAACCTGATTTAGGAAAAGATTCAACTTACAGAGATGATACTCGACAGAAATAAGTGGTTAATTGATTTTGGCAAAATCTAGGTTAAAAAATAAAAGTGTTGTTTTTCTTGTGCAGCGGACCAGTGACTACTGAGAACAAATTAACGACATCGTTTTTGGACTGTCAAATAAATTCCGGGATAATTTTGAGAATGGCCGGGGAATTGTCCCACTTTTTCATAATAGCCTAATTTGTTAAAAGTACTACTTTATCCTTACTAAGGTTATTTATGAGATATATCCTTTATCTTTTAAGGTCTTATCATTCAGGTTCTATATCTATATTTTTCAGCCTTTCTAACACCTTTAAGTATTGTCTATATATTGAAAGTTCTTCAAAAATTATAGGTTGTCCTTTTTTAGTTATATATCCTTTAAATAAGCCTTTTGAAATTTCTTCTTGTATATCCGTATGTTTGGTTATAATATCTTCTACTTTTCTTATTTCTTTATGAGTTCTCACAGGATCAAATCATATATTGTTCTTTCAACTATAATCTATATCTCTATATATTTCTTCAATTTTTTCTTTACCAATAGGGAATATAACATCAGATTTTACATCTAATTTAAGCAAGAACGAAACATCTTTTTCATCTAAAAATAAAATAAGATTATTATCATCATTAATCGTGGAAGTGGATGCTTGTGAATTGCTCATCAAAGATAATTAAAGCATAAGCATGTAAAAGAAAGTAAATAACTTACAGTAATCAATTGGAAATAAACAGGCTTTCCCTCCAGTATACTCTTATAGATGCTTTACATGTACTTAATCAGTCTTCTGAATCAAGTAAAGATTTAAAATGTTTTGAAATCATTTGGGTCCACAACTGCCTCCGCAAAAGGTTTTTCAATTAAGGTTGCATTTCTCATTCTAGAGAACTAGCCGTGTTTCCACAGACGCTATCTCACAGTATCCAGAGTCTCTGTTTTCACCTCTATCCAAACTCTTTTCAGAATCAAGTTCCTACTTGAAACGAAATTTTAAAAGATAACTCACACACAATGTGCTACAAATTTTCGTTAGAAAACTGCCTTTTCCCCTAAACCATTCATCAAATACAGGTACTTTGGCATGGCTAACATCCATTCAAAATCAAAATTTTGAAAATCTTTTAAAATCTCTATCTGTACTGTCGAGGAATCATGAGAAACTTAACGAAATCCTTTTATGTAAGCTTTGTTGAACATAACAAACTTTACTTTAATATTCATGAACTGAAATTGTACATGCTTATAAACTATATTTACATACCTTTGGTACTCACCTTATGAAGTTTAGAACTCCATAAGTGATTACCTTATTACACGTTTTCCTATCTTCAAGCTATCTAATATTTTTCTGAATACAAGTGGTGTATACAGATTACAAAAGATTTCTCTCAAATGTGTTTTAAGAGAAGTTATTTCAAGGTATTTCGAGATATTTTCCTCCTTCCTTCATGCCTCCTTTTATAGAAGATTTTGGAATCTTATCTTGGACAGGTGTTTTCCACCTTTCTTTGTTGGGTAGCTAGGTCATCTTATCTCCACCGAATTCTTCATTATCTTTTTGATGGATGGACCTCTTATCTTGAAATTGGATGCCTTATCTTTGTCTGCCACTTGTGACCATTAATAGGAAGTAGTCACAATTATAGAGACTTTTCTTGCATTATCTTCTGTCTTCTAGTAGCCACAGTTTTTCTTTAATAAATTTCTTTATTAAAGTAGTGATAAATGGCTACTTTAGTCATCATCACTTCTCCATTTTTGAATCAAAGAATTCTGCAGGGAATTCTTCATCATTAAGAGATGCTTGACTCATATCTTCAACAACACAGTATTCACAATGGTGATCACTGTAATTTCAGAGTAATTTGCATAGTTCTTTAGCCATATCCTCTGATCCGTGTACTTAGTTGGATATAATTGCAGATAATAAGTGATCAAGATAACAATATCTTCTTCTTTGGTATTCATCCTTGCATTGGAATAAATAATATGGTCTTCAGATGGATAAACCCATATTTTTTCTCTCTCAGTAATTATTTGAGTTACATGTTCAAATATCTCTTTATACCCTTTTGCTCTCCTGTAGGGCATCATGTTTAGAATATCTTGATATCCATTTTTAACAACCTTTTGATTGGCTGGCAAAAAATGTTGATTTGTTAGTCCCATTTTGATCACATGGAACGATGGATGCATATATTCAAGAACAGGATCCCATTCCATTGTTGCTGAATGGAATCTGATGTATATATTTGTTGTTTTAACAACTTCAGTATATCTTTTAACAGCTTTCCTAATGTTGGCTGGAAGCTAAGCTATCTCCTTGAGATCCTTACTAGGATATATACAAAGTATATTTCCTATTTCAAAGCAATTTCGAACCCAGTTGGCTGGTG